TCAGGGCGACTATTATACGTTTCTCCATTTTAAAGTCGGACTAGTTCCCACAACACATCTATAGGTTTTTATGGGTTCTGTCGCTAGAGCTGTGCGAAATATAAAATTCCATAGAATCACTGAAATGTGTTTGCAGAAACCTTTCTACTTGTGTTTAGTTGATGAAGTAACTTGCAGCATACCGGAAAATAGTAGCATGCTTGAGTCGAGACTGTTCGGTGTGACCGTGGTAAGAAAATGGTACCCACCATAGATGAACATCGAAACATTCCGCAGCATTTTTTGACTTAAACAGCCAGGCCATTCACATCGCCATAATATTTTTAGCGGTCGCAATGCTTCGTCAGACAGCAGCGGTTTTGGTTATAAATTGCTTAGATGAGCTGAGATATAGTTGACCTCAAAGCGTTGGGAAAAAGGCTGATCTGGATCAGAAGAGGCTCACCCGCCCCTAAAAAGGCAAGTACTTGGCGGGAGGAACAAGCGTATTTTAGCGTAATTAGAATACTCAAGGCAGGTAAAGAGCAATGGCGGGATTGGACACATCTCACATTCGTAGCGTGAGATAGGACTTCTAAGCCGAATTGGCCTAATGGTAAAGTGATATTGCACCTTATCATGTTTATTTTAGCGAGGTAATGCGCGGGATTGCTCGTCCTCCTTCCCGAAGCACTGTCTCCATCGTGTCGTATTCTTCTTCTCTTCTGTGTTCTTCTTCGGTTTATCCAGTACCGAAGTGAGACGAGATCAGGCTCAAACTTTACAAAGTAACATCTTCGACTGGTACATGGCATTATCTAGCGGAGCACATTCATATGGTGCCCCAACTGACGCTTTTTCTATATAAAGCCAAAATGAACGTTAATGAGCCACAAAACGAGCAATAACTGCCTAAATCAATTTACACTGTCATTTTCAAGAGGAAGATTTCAAGTTCAAAATAATTGCCTCCAATAAGTGACAATCCGAAATCCTACTACCCTTTCTAATTCCCTTGAAGATGACTTTTGGGTTCTGCAGTTGTAATTATGCACTAGAGCAGGCCTTAATATTTGGCGTATCTTAAACTGAGTTTAACTTCTCAATTCAGAAGATGCTGAAAAAGCTGCGAACCATCGGTTACAGCGATTTGTGTCGGGGATGGGCGGTTCGAAAGGTTTTTACTGTTTCTCCAAAAAAGAACAAATTGTTTTTACCTGAAGTTTTGACAGCTTTGTATGATATCTAAAAGTGGAGGTCTCTCTCTATAAAACGGTCTATAAAGGCTCTCAAAAGATTGTTTTGCACTAGATGTGATTGGGAAAATGTTTCCACAGAGCTAGCAAAAAGCTCAACCGACAGCTTAATTTTTTGGATTGGCGAACATGGAGTTCATAAAGCTACATAGAGGGAAATTGGTTGTGCTAATGACAAAAATTAGGCACTCTTACGATAGGATATCCACCTTATTCAAAATTATTTTAGGTATAGGATGCAGGGTCACACTGATTTGCTTCAAAAGTGGTTTACTGGTGTTAATTAGCATGCTGATTACAAATGTTTTCAGTTTCCATTTTAAGACTATAATTTAGCTAAGCATTGATCTTGCGCGACAGGCATGAAATTATCCAATATTCCTTTATTTAGTAAATTAGTGTCGATTGAACTAGGTTCAATACAAGGTCAAACTCACTAAATTGCTTAATAAGCGGTCTTCTGGGGGTTAATTGGCATTTGAATATAAAAGTAAATCCATCTTTTATTTCAAAGCCATTTTGAATGGTAGACATGAAAACGCCCAACTTTTCTTTTTCATTACAACAGTAATTTAACCTTACCATCTTCTATCCACAGTGAGAGTGTAGTCTACAATGAGAGCTTACTGTGCGATGTCAACTGACCCCACTAGACAATTTTCACCAACTCCGTGATCTTGACAACTACAGCTTATAGTTATCATAATGCCATAGCAAAATTGTAGCGAATAGATATGATTTTCGTAATCAGCATATCCGATTA